AAGTCAACCAGGTCATAGAATTTCATTGTATTTGATTTGATGAATAGTGGATTTGTGGGTTCGATATATTTAGACCAATTGATTATTCTGATTGCTTTTTTCTGTAGTTTTAAGACAGGGAGTGTGTTTGATTTACAGGCGTTACCCCATATTTCCACACAGTAGGTCATATATGGGAGTAATAATGAGTAATATAATGTGTGCAAGGAACTCATATTCAACACATCCTTAGTTTTATGGAGTATCCCGATAGTTTTGGATATTTTCCTTTTAACATTATCAATATGTGGCTTCCAGGATAGTTTGGTGTCTATTACTAGTCCAAGAAACTTATTTTCATAAACTCTTTCTATTTCAATTGAATTTATCTTTATTTTAACTTGGTCTTTAATAGGTCTCGTACCAAAAATAACAAACTTAGTTTTTGTTAAATTTAAAGATAGTTTATTTCTGTCGAACCAGTCTTTTAATTTGGTTAATTCATTTTCCACAGTTTTCAGGAGTTGTTCCATATTTTTTCCACAGCAGTAGAAGGTTGTGTCATCAGCAAATAGGACACATTTGAATTGTTTTGTAACACTACAGATGTCATTTATATATAGAATAAGTGAACAATAAAGTGGAGCATCTCAACATAAGTTCAGTTTCAAGTGTAAATTCATAAAACCTTGACCATCACAAATACATGTGTGTTGCTGCTTCCACCGGAAATGCCAGCCATCCATCAATTTTCTACAGCGCTCACCCTCATTTGAGTAGCGGGAAAGCTGAAGCCGATCCCAGCTGACTTTGACCCAGATGTAGAGTACACCTTGGTCATCAGCCAATCACAGGACCGATTGCCTCACTGTTCTATGTTGTGATGTTTTATGCTTGGTATTCATTTTCTTGCATCTGATTCAAACAAACAGGTATTAAATTCCATTTCAGTTATATCCTCCTGACTGCCAGTAGTTCAAATGTGTCCTCTGTAGAGGACATTTGTAAACCTAAATATCTCCCACCCAGTGCATCCAATCGCATTAACTCTTTTTGTTACTCTAAAGAGGACATTCAGTGCTTTCCAATGATACCAAATTTGTAAGGGTTAGAAAAAGTAAGAAAATGGCTTCCCTCAGTGCAAGCACTTTTTATGGGAAGAAGAAAAGTAATACTTTTTATCAAACACATTTTGTCTTGAAATGCTGTTGGCATTTTATTTATAAGACTCTTATTAAGACGTTAAAGTGTTGTTGAGTTGTTTTAAGTGTATTTGAGCCTAGTGTTCAAGTGTTTAAAAAATGTAGTGGAATTTCAAAAATTTCTTTTGGAGTAGTCCAATTACTTCACATAGATTGGGGAATTTCAAAATAAATGTGATTGGACAACTTTTTTTTTTCCTGGTAGTCAGGAGGATAAGACGCCAAATGGCAACAGAAGTTGTCTCAGCACATTTTACATACGAAGCACAGTTATAAACTTAAGTGACCACTGTTACAATCAAAGTACATATAGTCCCACTTAACATATACACTTATATTAAATTTTCTAAACAGAGTTGCTCTTTTTTCGCGGTGAAGATGGAGCCATCCACCAGCCAATCACAGGGCCCATAACCAATCGAACCCGAACATCAGAACTGGGGCAGATGTGCTAATCATTCCACAACGTGCTGATTTGCAAAATGCGCATAGCCACTTGAGAAAAATATCCCACTTGTGTAGAGTGATTATCTCAATTGTTTATCAGTTCATTGGAAACAAGTAAAACTCTAAATTCATCATTTTTGCACATCAATGTAATTTACGATGAGATTTGATTCGTTGAATAATTTCAAGGTATTTTGTTTTGGTTTTAATTATTTTTGACCTTGCTAGCTGTTCGCCGGTTTAGCTCACTTTAGGTTTGAACTGAAATGATAAACGGATAGTGTCGAAAGTCCTGTCCCACCACACTGTACTTAGCTACGAGTAAACGCTCGGGTCGGGTGATTTATGATTGTGACCCTATGGACAAACTACCCAACCAATTCTGGGAATTCACACTCTGTGAATGGCAATCGCGAAGACGGGTCCTGTGTTTATATTAGATTTTGAAAATCTATAAATATAAACCAACTCCACGATCCGATCTCTTGTCAATGGCTGCCTCGGGTTTTAAAGGCACTGTGAGGATTTCTCTTCTAAGTGTCTTATTTATGTCTATAAAAAATATCCTCCTCGTAAGCACATTTAAACCATGCATGATTTTGACAATCATCCACGTTTGGTTAGACCCTGCTAGCTGTTAGCAGGCGTAGCTTAAAAAAATGTGTGAGCCACGTGACACCTAGATTGGCCAGATATTCATGATGCATTGCAAAATTTGACTCTTACCTCAAGTGAAACGTTGCTATTTGATCACTTCAAGTGCAATTCACAAGCCAGCAAGAGTCAGACAACGTGAGAGTACGCATTTGAAGCACCAAAACAAAGCGTCAAAACTCCATATCCGCCATATTTTTCTGACAATACGGTACGGTGCGAGAAGAGAGACAAACTTCATTTTTGCAAGAACGATCTAGGTAATTTGTTTCAACAGAAGTATGAACAAAAAAATTACGATGACATTGGTTGTTTTTAAACGTACAGTATATTTATCTGGTCATTGCTGACCATATTAACATTAATGACAAGGGTAGGTTAATTTAAAGATCGAAATTCTCCTTTCAGTATGAAAGTTGAACAAAACATGCCATGCCCTTGACTGAGCCGAGTAGAGTCAAGTTCATTTCTACAGCTCATACTCAAGAGTCTCAAAGATCTTCACAAACCGACAGTTAACAGAGAAACTCCCCACAAACTGATACAGTTGATCATGATATACTACTATAAAGGTGGGGAACTTGGGTCGGAGTAAATGAAAGAGTCCTAATATTGTTCAGGTTCTACTTGAAGAAAATTAGTTATTTTGTAACCATTGAAAGTTTTAAATCTGAGTTAATGGCTATGACATGTGGAGTTCTTCAAGGGTCAGTCCTTGGACCCCTTTTGTTCACCCTGCATATGCAACTATTGGGTCAAATTCTTTCGAATGCAAATAAATATTGGTTATCATGACTATGCAAATGATACCCAGCAATATTTATCAATGTCTCCAAATGACGCAAGTTGTTGTGTCACTACCTAAAACAAATTAGTAACTGGATGAAGCAAAATTTACTTCTTCTAAACTAAAACAAAACTGAGGTGATTGTTTTTGGGAACAGAGAAAAGAGAATCGCTCCTACTAAACACTTAAGAGTCACTTGTCTTTAAAATTCAAGGACCAATATCAAAACCTTCGGGTCCTGATTGATTTGGATCTGACTTTCATTGGTCATATCAAATCAATTACTAAAGCAGCCTTATAGCAGCTGAAAAATATATCCTGAATGAAGGGCTGCATTTTCCAAGATCACGAGAAACTTATCCATGCTTTTATCTCCAGTATACTTGATTATTGTCATGGAACAAACAGTTCTTGCTCGGTTATTTCCTTTATTCAAATGTTCAATTACAAAGTCTGACAGTACAAAAGAAAACTCCCATTTCACCCTCCCCCCCCAACATATACAACCACAATTCCTCATTAAACAGATGTTAACAACTGATGAACACACATCAAAAGCAAAACACTAACATTAGACATCAGACGAAGAACCGTACACCCAAATTGGAAAAAGCAAAATATCACTTTTTTTTTCTCTCACAGTAATGAGTTGACTCAGGCAGTATTTATATTTTTTTGTATTTTGTTGCTTTGGCGGTGAACCAGAACAAGTAAGTATAACAGGGCCGTTATTTTGCTGTTATTAGGAATATTTTCTTTATGAACAGATGGCATTTGCAATAATCATTAAACTTATTTCACCTTGTGTAAGAAATGTAGAGGTGCCAAAATTAATCAACAATTAATCGATTATCAAATTAATTGACAACTATTTTAATAATCGAGTAATTGATTAGAAGCATTGTTTAACTTAGAATTGTCTAAATCATCACATTTAAGCCTCTCAATAGTAATTATTCTCTGGTTTCTGTAGTGCTTCAAGAAAGTGGAGAGATGATCGTTTGTGTTTACTCAAAATAAGATATTTGCAACATCTAATTGGGAAAAACCAATGCCGGACCAGTTAGTGAATCAGTTCCAAAAAATTTTTTAACTACAATGTCTCTTCTGTGATGTTGCTTAATGTTGTTTTTTTTTGTTACGAGACAATACCAAATAAACCTCAATAACTGGGACATAAACAGTCAATGGGGAAAAATGTTCAGAAACACATTTCAATGGAAAATAAAATTTTATCCGATGAATTTGAATAATTGATTCTAAAAATATTCCCTCGTGACAGCCCTAATGCAATGCTATAGTGTGCTTTACAAAAATATCAACATTCCTTTAGAATCAAATGGAAAGGCACAATCTTTCCAAACACCAGGTCTCAACCCCACAAAAGCAGATAAAACATGACCAGAGTCAGAAAAGTTGTCTGGTACTGTATACAAAGGAGTATTAAGGCCATTCTGAAAGGAAACATACATTAAACTGAGTAAGTTTGAATTTGTAATTTTACCACAGTCAAGTCAGAATTTTAACAAGTCATACATTTACATTGAAGACACGATGACAAAAAACATTACAAGAATAAACTGTACCATGTTAACCAATGCAACTGCCACTTGTCTCAGGTCATCCATATGTCATGGAATTTGTTAGAATCACTTCAATTTCACAGAATGTAGCCGACAGAAGAGTTTCAGTTTGCGTTGTTTTTTTGGGAGCAGACAAGAGTTTCTACAATTACAGTATACAATACAGCTTGTTTTACTAAATATTTTCTCCCATTGAACTACAATGTATTACAACTTCATTTTTGTAAAGCTTTTTATTAGATTTTTGGAATTCTGTGAATTCATTCTCATAGTATTTTTTTTTTTTTTTTATAAATAAGTATTCAGTTTGGCCGAAATACTCCACCGTACTTTCCCACAAAGACTTGAGGAACTAAATGTGGTAAAAGCCTTATGTAGTTTTTTTTTTTTTATAAGCACTATCAATAGAGACACAACTTAACAGGTATTTAATGAACTTAAAAAAAAAAAAAAAACTAAAATCAAACAAAAAAAAGGAGAGTCCAAAAAAGTTTAAAACTGACACACAGTGTCACAGAAGCAAAGGTAGACATTTGAGCAGTGGACAGAAGTCACTGATCCCAGTCCCGTGGAGACAGTCATGTCTTGTAATGGCCATTTTCAAGAGCTTACAGTGAGGGGGAGTTAATCAATGAATAAAAAAAATTGGGGTGAATAAATGACCTTAATTTGGGAGGGGGGGCTAAACAAAACACAGAGAACAAAATAACTACCGGGAAGGATTCCTGCAGTAAATGTGTCCTGACCAATCAAAGTACTCTACTCGATATATAAAGATAGGACACAAGTGAGACGGGTGAACGAGCTCTTCACTGCTAATATACCTCAATGACATACTAAGCTACGGTGACATGTACTCTTATGCCCAATCACTACTGTATTGTCAAACATTTATCGAGAGGTAGCCCATGGTACCTTGTGCACGGACCATTTTTAGAAAACCGCTTATTCATCCATTTACACATGGCAGGCTTACTCTTGAGCAAGCAAGATCTTCTGACGCAAAACACACACAATTGCACAAACACACTAGCAGGTCGACGAAATGTTCATACTAACAGCAGCAATACGACCTGTAGCCGCGGGTTTCCCGAGCTTCAGATTCAGACAAAACAATTTTGTTTTACCATCAGATGTCATCAAATAGAAAGAGCCACTGGGAGCAAGAGCAGTGGCGGTCAATAAGGGATGGTATTGAATTTTACATATCTAGACTACGGGCGAGGAAATTGTTTGATTCAATGTGGTTGCTTATCTTTTTAAGACCAACATATTACTGGTTAATTCTAATGGTTTTAAAATCCAGTAAAAGTAATCGCAACCTAAAAATACTACTCACCTAGACATGTCTTATACAGCTTTGCAGAAAACACCAAGTGGGTCACGTAACGTGGAGGTGGTCCGTGATTCACTTTGTGTCCCGGTCAGAGGTGTGTGATACTACTCTGACAAGAACACAAAGCCAAAGGGCACTGAATCGGTAGAGGTTTCAAATGTATCGTCAAGGGCCAGAATTGTCTATCAGAATAAAAGAATGGCATAAAGGGTGACACTAAATTAAATTTGACATTTACTGTAAGGCTTACAAATGACTTTGGTACAAAGAACCGCTTTGACTTCCAAAAGTTCAGAGTCCTGTTTAATATCCAAATTGACATGAAATCTGAAAGGGAAACTCAAGTCCAAAAAATGTATTTACAATACAGTATGTTCAATGCAGCCCCACCAAACTAAACACGGCATTGTGATTGGTTGTTGCCCTTGTGGAATATGAATTGAGCAGCGAATTCCCTTCCATCTCAGGGAGCGGCCATTTTGCCTTGTATGGCCACTTGCTGTCGACTGAAAATGACATCACAGTGCCTAAGGAATCAGCTTGCGGACATTGCATGACCAAACCCAGAGAACAGATAAGCCGTGACGGCCATTAACTGAGCCCTGAGGCAATGTGATGTCATTTTCAGATAATAATTGGCGCATTTTTCTGCTTCATTCATATTCCACAAATGCAATATCAGAATAATGTGTTTCAATGAGTGGGAGTGCACTGAACCAATTAAGAACACTTTTGACTTCCCATTTAAAAGTGGTCTTAATATGTGCATTCATTTTGTAGAATAAAACTCTTTCCAGCTTCCTTTCACACGCCAAGTGGTGTCTTCTGTTCATGTCGGTCTGACTACACTGACTGCATGTTTTGTTTTTTTTTTAAATAAAGGCTTATATTTTTTTTTTAAGCGTTTTAAGTAACTAGTATCTCCCTTAAACTTCACAGGAGTCCTCCCAGAGCCTGAGATGTGACATCTTCACCTGAATCTCTTTTTGGGACGCCACGAGTAAACATGGCATTTAGTCTCCCTGCGGACTGGAGGGAAAAACAGCCCTTTATTTTTGTTGAACTTCCTTGTATTTAGGATTGGCTTAAACTAACTACAAAGTCACAGGCCTCCAAGCTCACCGCGTCTTTCAGCTCACTGCTCAGGATGCGGCTCGGCGAGCGCTAGCTGCACAGGAGGTCGTCCAGACCAAGCGGTGGCATCCTATCAAAGTCACAGGTGTCAAACAGATCGCTGATTCCCTGGTCATCTCCCAATCCTAAAAGGTAGTCGTCTTGCTCCAGAAGAGGGGGCCCCAGGTTCAAGAAGGGCCCCAGCGATGAGGGCATCTGGTCTTCCGTTTGCTGGAGAAGACTGGTGTACGGGGACGAGATCGGCGAGAGAGCCGTGACAGACACGGTGGTGGAAGTGCCAGGGGACGTGGTCGGGACGGTGGGCTCTGCAGCGCAGAAGAGTCATGGTCAGTCATTCATCTTGTACTCGACTTAGAAACTAAGTTACGTTCCAGAATGCTGTTCAAGTATCGCATTGTTCTCAAGTTATTGTGCCTTGATACTTTTCACCATGGAAAATCGGAGAGCTTATTTTAATTGCCCTGAGCGCGTTCGAATTTGATGCATCCTGCCAATCAATTTCCACAGTGCGCCGATATGACCCAAACACAAGGTAATGTGTTATAGCAGGGCTTTCTTGCGACTGACTTCAAGTCAGCCCTTAGATCATTCAGAAACTCCAAAAATTGTATTGCCGAATAGAAAATGTCTCCAAAACTTGTTTCTGGCATTTCGATAATTTTTGTTTCTGGCATTTCAAAATGGATCATTTCCGCCAACACCTCCGTGCTACAATATCCGGTTCCCACATGCCTTTCAGATGCAGGATTTAACTCATTCACTGCAAGACATTTTCCAAGCAGATTTCCACAGTGGCAGCCACTTTGGAGCATTTTGACTGATCTTTCAAGACAAACACAATATTATGTCCTGCAACATCTACCAAAACAAAGAACAGACACACTTATAGCGTTTGCTATTCTTTCGCCATCAGAAATAGAGCACACTTCCTCCAACATTCCGCGACATATATTCTGTTCATACCATAGATACTTTATACATGCTGGTCAAGAGTGAGGTGCCCAAACTTGTGACAAGCAGAGAATCACCACCACACCTTAATCTCCACCACTCTGAAATCCAAAAATGATGCAGCGCCAGCTACTGCTAGTGTCTGTTCGTTACTACTGTTTTACAAACTTTAATTTCACAGACAAGCTGGGCAAGACCTCTTCCATGCCTATCCGTTGAAAAATGTACTGGACAAATGAATTTAATGATGGCAGTCAACTTCTGGATTCCATTTGACAAATGTAAAAGTCCACAACAGTGAATAAGATGGAGAGCCTCCGCAATTCATCTCTGGTTTGATAAACCGCAGTTCGTTTGTACGGTATCTACTCCTCCCAGTATTTTGCTAATTTGTGTCGAAACTTGCAATGAATTGTGCTACTAGTTTGCCCGTTTGGCAATTGCAATCCTGGGTATGGCCCATTAGATCAACTTCCACGTTTGCTTGCGTGTATAATCGAGTTTGTGCCCATTTTTGCACATGCAAATCAGAAAACGTGTTTTTAAGGTTTTACCACAAAGGAAACTTACCAACCCTTAAAAAAAATATAATAAAAACAAAACCTCAATCTTGGTTGTGCACACAAAATTTCTGTTGCAAAGGCACTGCTCGGAATGCGGCATATTCCAATGGGCTACAATGAAATGACTAATCATGCACAGGTCCTCTTGGCGGCAGTCAGGTTTTTATTGTTTGTGGGGACGGGGGTTAGGCAGACCTTGAAGAATCTTGAGGAAAGGCGAGTTCCCGTTGATGTCCATGCCGCCATTTTTCACCGGACTACCGTGGTCATTCTCGTCTGGACACAACAGAACCTCGATAGGACCTCTTGTGCTGGTCAGGTGGATGGATAGACTCTGTGGAGAAAAAGATTCCATTTAAAATAAGACAGAAAAGAGCTGACGTGTATTTTTAGTCAGTAATGCATCTGATTGAAAGAAAGAGCAATGTACAACATTGCAGAACAGTTTTCCACTAATGCCCAAGATTCCAAAATGTGCACCATGTAACTAGCGATCACTAAAACAGTTTGATCCAGGGTTCTTTCAGCATTACTTTTTAATTTCCTTTGAAGTCAAACTCAAGACCATCTTCTCACGGTTGCCCAATGGCCCTTGTTGTGCAAAGTTGATCGAGTCCAAATGACGTGCGCCTGCTCTTCAGAGTCCCAACAAAAAGCACGCCATTTTGTTGGTTGCGCTATTCAGGGCTACAGACCAACTTTTACTTGGGAGTAGAGTGGCAAATCAGCAAATTTTTTTTTAGCTCAATCAATTTCCAGTACAGCTCATCCAGCATGCTTGCAGTATGTGTTGTAGCAAACATTACCTCTGAAAAGCCTTTCCAGAATTCTCCATTAATGGCTGTCCGGAGCCACTACGAGACTGTCAGGTCAACCCAAGTTCACCAACGCTGGCTCAAACAGGCCAGTACAAATCTCTCAAATAACTAAGATAAAATAAACACAGTTTGGTTTTTTTTTTTTGTTTTTTTTTTAAATCAATATTCTCTTTCCACTTAATTTGATCAAGCTTCATCAATCTTTTTATCATGCTCTCACGATACAGAAGTAATACTTACCAGCCAATTCTGGACCAAGTCTGAAAAGACGTTTAAAAACGTCTTTGGGAGTGAATGAGTTAAAGTCTTGAATACAGTAAAAAGACCCACAATACGGAATTATCATTGAAACTTAGCATATTATATCATGAATGTAGAGGAACAGTGCAAGTTCTGGCAGAACCGCACGGTGGCACTGTCTGGCCACATCCCAAAAAGACTTACTGTAGCACCCTGCTTACAGTTTTGCTTACGAAGAAGATTTTACCAAGACCAGAATGACATCGCGGACAGTCTGTACACATACCTCATCGGGATCTGGTACTTCTAGCTTAGTGTCGGTGGGCGCTTTGACAACAATAACAGTCTGATCATGAAGGTTTCCCAGGTGATTGATGTCTTCATATGTGACATATGCAAATGTGGTCAGCTGGTCAAAGAAAAATGTCTTTTGAATTTTAGAACGTGAAAACTGTAATGCTGAAACCAACATGTGAGTTCAATTAATTTTGTGCAAGCAAGGGTAAAAGTCCAAGCCGAAAGGTGCAAAATAATTCATAAATGAAGAAATAAATAAATAGAATGAGGATGACTCCATGCTTATTCTGTCCAGACAAGGTCAAGCCACATTGTTAAGTGAGCATGTACATGGTATGTGCACATGTTCTGGCAACAGGGATTCATAGTAGATGCAAGTGCAGACCCGCAATCCACACCTAAAAACGTGGGATGCATCAGATAGCTGAAAATTGCAGCTATTAATCTAGTAAACAAAATGGATCTATCCTCTCTTGGTAACAATTATTCAAGTGCAATTCAAGTAAAAATGTGCAATATGTTCTGTGCCCTCACTATTCTAAATATGTTTTTGTGGAAAAAGAATTAAGGTGTTGTCTAATCCACTTTGTTGCAGCCATTTAAAAAAAGAACGAACGAAAGAAAAGGATATTTCTCGTTGCTCGGCGACTCGCTCATATGCTTCGCATCCAGGCTGCATCTTTGGATGAGCTGCTCAAGTCTCTGCTCTTCTTCCGCCAGCGCAGAAACCTCTGCTGTCAGTCTTTGTCTCTGGTTCAGTGACCCCTCAACCTCCAACAGGCTACAGCCCCTGTGAGCGCCGAATGATTAGAAACATATTTCTCCTGCAATCATGATGTCGAATACATGCAAGGTGAAAAGGAAGATGCTCAATTTGGACTTTTGCGTGAAAACAAAATTTTGGGGTCTAAATATTCACGTTGCATATTAACTCATTCAGTACCAGCCAATTCTAGACTAAGTCTGAAAAGACGTTGAAAAACGTCTTTGGGAGTCAATGAGTTAACGGTGGCCTCAGTCTGTGTGGTATGTGAACCAAATGTGATGCCATAATGACCCACATATGCAGAAGACGAGACGATGTCACTCACAACATAGTGTTTACCAAAGTTAAAATGGTCCGGCGTGTAGGGGCTCAATTATTTTATCATCTCATATCTACAAAGGAGCGCATGTTGACATTTTGATGACATATAGGTCAGATAAATGCGACCTGGCCGTTCAGACGAAAACCGTATTGCAAAAAATCATTTATCTGTATCCGATCTAGGACCACATATGAAAGTGAAACAGGTCGGATTTTTGGTGAAAAAAAAAAACTGAAGAGTCATTCAGACTGTCATATATATATATATAAAAAAAAAAAATCTGATGCAGGTCACATGTCGGCAAAAAAAATCAATATGGGACACATTTGCCTAAAGTCGGAAAGCAGCCAAAGTGGGCATGGCAACTTACATCCATTGAATGTTGTTCTTTGATTTCTTCTTAATGAGGTGAATGCCTTCTAGTACATTAGTGATGTCATACAATCTCCTTTTCTGCACCTAAATGCAGGGGGGGAAAAAAACATCAATTGAATGTTTGTTAGATAAAACTCCAAATGACACATCTAACTACACCTACACACCACATTACGAAAACATGCACTGTCAAAGAGCAACAACAAAATGCACATTTAATTTCATTTGTCTTCATCTTTTGCACTAGTGTTGTGCATTGCACTGAGCCAGACTGAGGTGTTAACATTATCTGACATAGGAGTGGGAATAATTGGAAACTATACATGTGCATGGCACTATGCGGTGTCGTAGATCGTCAGTCCTGAAACCACAATGAGTGTCGTTTAAAATCACAGGGAGTCCCACAGGTCAAATCAGTCAATATGTTGGCACGAGTCGTCAACTGTAATTTTTTAGCGTCCAATCCAAGTCAGGTTTGGCCACATGGCGGTGTTCACCAAACACAAGAAAAAGGTGCATTTAATGCCAGTGCATGCCGCTGAAACACTACGCAAAACACGCACATCAACACCGCGCTTCAATGCAGCTGAAGAAACATCTTGGTTTAAAGATTCAATTAAAAAGTATTGCATATAAAACTCAAAAAGTGTAACTGAAGAAAGAGATATATATGCAGTTTTTAAAGATTGACTGCAAATGTATTGACCGTAAGGTTAAATACAACTGAACTGTGCTCAGTGATAATCTCACATTCCACTAGAGGGAGCCCGCGCACCACTCCTGGTACTAGTACCAGTTTGAGAATCACTGAGCAAATGCATTTATGAGATTTGTGTTTCTCTTTGATTTTTTTTTTTTTTTTTATGAATTTATCTAGTAATATTATTAATTTGAATCAGAAAACATGCCAATGGAGAATGCGGACAATTGTCTGTTGTTGCTGCTGTACGGGTTAGCTGTGGAGGGTGGTTGGGGATATTATTTGCCCTTGCCCCAGTATGAGATTGTAAAGTCTTACACTGAGCATGCTCTAGCGGGTGGCACTGCTTCAGTTGGTTAAAAAACAAAATGGAAGCGTTCCCCGTCATTGTGAGAACATAAACTCGGCATCACTTTCGGGACACATTTGTCAACAATGTAGTGTGTTGGCCTTTGGCCTGTGTCTTCCATCATTTCTTCCGAGGAAACACTCAATTTCTTTTTTTAGCAGTCTCCCACCACTGCTACAGCACAAGCATGAGCACCTGTTGCAAGGGGCAGCTATTGTGCGGTGTGCGTCAACCTAATTTGGCATGGCTCTATTCCAGCCACATTATTGGTTCAGTGTGGAGAAGGTCTCATCATTGGCTATTCGCACTGACTGTCAAAACACTGGGCAATCTATGGCAATGGAGAATGCGGACAACTGATGGCAATCTAAGGTAGTCTATGGACTGTGTCTACTGACAAAAAAAAAATAAAAAGTCGTGAAATATCTCATTGCTATTTTTACCGCCCAGCCCTTTACAGCAGTGGTCCCCAACCTTTTTTGCTCCACGGACCGGTTTCATGTCAGAAAATATTTTCAGGGACCGGCCTTTAAGGCCGGATAGATGCAACAATATAATATGATATGACCTGCATGAAAAGTGTGATATCTTCAAAACATAATAATAAACACGAATCATGACACGAGGAACGTCCTATCTGGGCAACATTCTCTGGTCGCTATGGTAACGTTTAAACGTGCCTTCAAAATAAGATACGCCACAAATAAAGTGCATGAAAAACACGACTCACCATCGCCGCTTATTATGCAGAGTACGCTTGGTGCGTGTGAATCTCCCGTTGAGATAAAGTCGTATTTGAAATAGGACTCCTGATACTATTAAATGTAGCCTTCTCTTTCCTGAAAGTTGCAGGCTCCTCTTCTGTCTCCTGGCTGGGCCTTTTCCCATTCCCGAAAAAACTTTTCAAAGATGTTTGTTTTTTATGCGGTAACCTATCACGTGACCGAGAAGCGCGCATTTACCTGCGTCAAGAGTGACATACTGTAGACTGATATAACAGAGAATCCGGTAATTTTTCAAAATAAAACATCTTTCAGATTCCGAAATGAATAAAACGGAAGGAATGTACCGTAAGTCATTTATTCTTTCTGTGCGGCCTGGCACCAAATGACCCGTGGACCGGTACCGGTCCGCGGCCTGGCAGTTGGGGACCCCTGCTTTACAGTACCTAACGTGTCGGGTAGAGAATCTACAATACCATCATTCCGCAGCTCTTCAGTTTAAGGTGGAGGGTACCTGTAAAGTTTCTGCAGCAAGGTTTAGGTCCAAAACTCCATCAACAGACTGGGCGAGCAAGTCCACAAACTTCTTCGTTAAGAGGCCCAGGGAGGTATCATACCGCGTCCTCTCTGGTGGAGATTTGGGCGCTACAATAAGAGAGCAAAATAACATGTTCAACTCATGCTTTCTTATGTTAACACCAAAAACCTTAGCACTGACATTAGCAGCTAGCGATCAGAATCGTTGAAATACATCACCTTTTTTTTGTTTCTTCTCATTGAAAGTTTGTTTGATCTGGAATTCCCTATGGAGTTTTTTTAAACGATGGACACAAGCTATGAGAGTGATGCTTCTGCACTTAATTGAGAATTGGGAATTTCTCCATTGTGAGACAAATAAAGGTTTTCTTATGTTATCGTAACACGCTACAAAAGTGCGTTCATGCCAGCCTTTGTCATGTTTCACACTTAGGTAGGCAGTGATTTCCTAGTCACAAACTCAGTCTTGTCCTGTATCTTTCATTTTTCTGTTTCCTTCATGTTAAGGTCGGTGATGGCTGTTGCTCAGCATGGCATGCACGCGGGCGTGCAGTAACGGGTCAATCGGTGGAGGTTGGCTGCTTGAAAAGTAGATCTTCAGTCAAAAAAGGTTGGGTACCCTTGGGGCAGAGGATCGATCCTCAGGTTAAGATGGAGTTCCTAATTAACCTAAACTATGGCAGAGGTAAAAACATAAACGCTGTGAATATGTGAATACAAAAAAAAAAAAAAAAAAAAAAAACACACCCAGGTCATGAATACTAAACAAAAGAAAAACAGTTGAGCATGGCTTGATAATGTGTTCTTACATGGCTGCACAAACTAGTTCATTGTGTGCCATTCGTAACCACAAAACGCAGAAAAACTAAGCTCATAGACTGGTGATTACAAGGGTTCCGTGTCACGCTAGTGTGCCATGACAGATATATCAGGGGAGCTGTGGGAAATTATCAAATTTAAAATGAGTTATGAATTATAAACATATCTTTGTTCATCGATCTATGCCAGTCACATGTCATGAAAGGCAGAACAATTAAATCCAAGCCAATGCTTCCTGCAAGTACATCAGATTTGTGTTCAATTAAACAGACTTGGACTTCATAGTGAATACATTCGTGTTTATTACTGGACCATTCCATCATTATTTCAGTATTCATAATTTTTTTAACAGTTTTGTTTGGTGGTGTGCCATGGGATTTTTCAAACGAAAAATTGGTGCCTTGGCACAAAAACGGTACTGAAACACCATAACGTACTACAAGGTTCCCCACTAGGCATCCCCTAATTCAATAGAAATGTTCAACATTTATACTGCCACAAAGTGAGCTTCAATGACATTGCTCTGTGCATTCTGAATGACACTGGAATACTCTGTTCCTCGAACAAACACAAATTTAGCACGATCGAAATATAACTGTCCTATGCACAAAAAAGAGCTCAGTGCTGCCACGGCAAATTAACAACTATAGATACAAAGTTTTGGCAGACGGTCCTAGGGAGAAACAATAAAAGTAAATCAAATATCAATTGGACACTACCCTGGCAAATAAAGGGAAAAAATAGACCAATTCTTCTCCAAACAAAGTCTCCCATATGCAGGGCAAACATAAAATGTTTCTCGGGGTATTTTTATATAATGGCCATTGTCTGTGCACTCGGAAAATGCTTTTTTTGGGCCGGCCACATCATCACATTCTTGCTTACTCACCAAACGTGACTTCAATAAAACCCCAAAATAAAAATGTCAGAGGGTTAGTCGCCTAGAGAACGAACGGAGAAATATATCTGTAAGACGTAGAAAGGAACGTTGCATCGTGCATAAAGATTACTGGTAGAAAACAGTAAAGCAAATCTGTGTTTCATCTTACATTTATCTTTTCTTAAATAATGTGTCACACTTGTACAACGATGGTTCAATGATAATTCTCCATAGCATGTGAAAAGGTCTTACTTTTCGGTGTTTTTAAATGGGCTCCACTGGCGAATGTCGCACTCCCTCTGCCTCTTGGGGTCCTTGATGGTTCCGACTGGTACTGGTGGTCCGAATCGTCGAGAGCTAACCGCCTTTTGGCCTACAGGGAGGATATGGAATGGAAGATGGGCAGAGGATAAGCTTTGGATTTCAAAACATTTTCTATTTGAGGGTAAAAGCCATGTCTCTAAAAAACATGAAACAAGGTGAGGGCTGCCTGTGTGTAGTGCACCAAAATGTGAAGATGAGTCTCTTTTCAGTTACTTATATAGTTTTTGTCTTCTACTTTCTCCCTTTTCAGTTACTTATATAGTTTTTGTCTTCTACTTTCTCCCTTTTCATCATTTTGCTGCTATATATTGGGAATTTCTCCATTGTGAGACAAATAAAGGTTTTCTTATCTTATGCTAACAGTGAGTACAACTTGAGCATTGCACTTGCTCCATAGCATTTAAACAAACATGTATTGTTGGAACAATTCCCCTTCCAAATGGCAATCTGATTTCAAACCTCATTGTCAATTTTCAGAAAATTCCATATTAACATACAAGTGTTTGATATTTCAAATTGTTTCTGGTAGCATTACCTCACCTTGAAAGAGACATGATTTACTTCATCACTTTGTCTGATGTAATTTCCGTCACAGGAAAAACAAAGTACCTAATCGGGTTTTGCTTTAAACTCTATTTTGTCACACATGTATCATCAAGAGACATTCTTGAACTTTATTACTTTATTTTTGTCACCATTTCAAGGCCTTGTGACTTTCTTTGGAGCCCCCAAAACTTTTCTTCCTACTCTTCCACTTGTGTGGATGCAGTGACACCGGTATTCCAAAGCTGCATCCCACCTTAAAATATTTTACAGAGGACACATCCGTTTTAATCAAATCTTGCAAATTTTATTCAGACTTGTCAGTGAGTACCACGTCCACTGTTGACAGTCTAAATGTCAGCCATTTTATACCAGCAAGCAGCTCCCCTCACTCCGTCTGCTCATGGCTCCGGCCTCACGTTTACACGAGTTTAGCTCGCGAAATTTACAGTTTAAACCACAAACACTTACAATAACCAACACCCGAATAAACCTTACACTTTATCGTGTGGTTTATACAGGCTGCAAGTCCAGGAAATGCGTAAAGTAGCACTGAGGCCAACTAACTCGAGTTTCACTAAGAAAGGCATCACCATGTTGCACTTTATTCAGTGGAGTCAGTCAGCATACACACTTGTTCCAACTTGTTAAATTGGCATCGAAAACGAAGAATTTCTCCCCGCCTCGTCAACAGTGCAACTAGCCTTGACAGCTAACTCATTTTCATGCTTCAATCCAACTTGCATCTTAATCGACGATATGACGCTGTCGACTGGTCACAAAACTTGAGGTGAAGCCAAAGTGGTATCAAGAGCGATTGCATAAAGTAGAATAGAAACTACGAACACCCAAAGGGTACAAGTGTACAAATGTGCAGCAAAAATACCCGAAGAGCACCCCAACCCCCAAAATTGAAGACTAAGAGAGCAGCCACTAGGCCATCGCTAACGTTGCTCATCTCTTCCCAATGTTTCCATCTGGCTGCCAGGCTGAGGCGAACTCAAAAGCATCACGAAGTTAGCACGGCGAGCTGTTCGCACACCAGTGGACGTCGTGTGAACACCAAGCAATTTTAAAATATCCCCTTTTGATCCAAATCCGCCTAAACCCAACGGGAGTCCACTTGGACAACTTAGCTAATGGTAGTTAGTTAGCTATATGGCTAAAGTGGCTAGCAGCTAGCTGGCAGAACAACAAGCTCGGCTAAGCTGAGTAGGCTAGCCTTGTTGTCGCGTTTCGGGTTGTTAGTGACACACAAAATGCATTAAAATATGCTGTTCTGCAAGTTTACCGGCGGTCTTCCCAATGCGGGTCGCTGTCCTGTTCCATTTGCTGCAGCTGGCTGAGGTGTTGTGTAAATGTTGTTTATCGATGGCTCGGATAAACATAAATTCGAGGTCTGGGTAACGTTGCAAGGCGGCGGGGTCGTTATTATTTGGATATAAGTAGCGTTGGCTTGAGCGGGATTTAAACGATCCGAGAGCGCTGTCAAAATTATGTTACTGTCGAGATGGGAGCCTCCAACGCCCGCTAAAATCACTTTGTCCGGGGCCGAGGAGATCCCTCTTCTCATCTTGGTCTCGGGTAGCCCCTTTTTCTTGTCTCGACACTTCCAAGCCGCTCCGGTTGCTAATCCAGCGCAATAGTTACAAAAATAATCAGACCGAAGGTATGATAAAAGTCTGAATCATCGATTTGTGAAAAGTAGTTGTCCTCGTGTACGTGCATTTAGGCAGATGCAATGGATTAAAAAGTAGCGCAACTCTCGTTTCCCCCGTCGAGAAATGGCTTCAGGAAACGGCCTGATGAATGAAGGGATACGGTTTACGCGCTCAAGAGCCCTCCCGCGAAACTCAGATTTCCCGGGAAGATTTCAAATGAAATTTACATACTGGGTGCTATTGGCTGATCAGTTGACAGTCTCCGCCCCGTTTTTGGCCCTTCTGTCCAATGACGTCGTGGAATCCTGTGCGCCACGTGCTCATTGGCAGTTGTAAACAGACAACGTCACTTGTCACGCGTGCCGTAATCCTCAATTAGGGCGCTAGATGGAACTAACGACTCACTATACAAAACAGTATTTGTGCAGTTTGAGATTATCACAAATCTTAAACTCGATACACGTTGATTAATAGAACGATACCAGTTATTAGGATACTTTTCATGCTTTATGATCGTACGGAGTAGTATGCTTGCATTAGGTATTCTACAAAATATTACATCCGTGCACGTTTGCACACTCTTACACCCAAAGTTAAAAGGCCCACATTTTGTACAAATGCACAAGCCCCCAAAAAGTATTATTTACATTCACAATACAATAGAATATATGAGAAGCTACATGGTGGCAACACCTTAGCACACAATCATTATGGCTGAGAAGTCATTGCTTATCATACCATCTACAGTCAGTTTTGCATCCATCCATCTATCCATCCATCCATCCATCATCTATTATAAGGAGGGGGGTGGGGTGTAACAGCTTTAGCAGGGAAATCCAGACTTCCCTCTTTCCAGCCACTTCTTCCAGTTCTTCCCAGGGGATACCAAGGCTTTTCCGGGCCAGGCAAGCAATACCATCCCTCCAGCATGTCCTGGGCCATCCCCGAGATCTCCTGTTGGTGGGACATGCCGAGGATACGTCACCAGGGAGGTGTCCAGGGGGCATCTTAACCAAAGTAGCCTATAAGGTTAAAAGTATATTAATATAAGTAACAATATGATATACAATATATTGAAAGAAGATATAGTCTAAACTATTTATTTTTGGAATGTTATTCATTTGTTTCCACAAACGAGTCTTGAGTTTTGATTTTGACTTTGAGGTCTGCACAGTAAATGTTCTAAAAATTACATTACGGCTAGTTAAAAATCAATAGTTTTGCTCACAAAATAGTTTGCTACTATATATAATGTTGACTTCAGAAATAAAAACTGTTCATTATTTTAAAAAAAACAATTGCTCATTCGTTATATTGTCATATTTTATTGTTTAATAAAACCATTTATTCGTTCCATGAAAAAAAAAATCCTGTGCAAAGTTAGGAAGTTGCTCCTCAAATTAAGTCACTTACATTTTTTTTAAAGATTTCTAAATGTGTTTAAATATCGTTCTTTTAATACTTTTGGTAAGCTTTGCTTTGACCTTTATTCATCATTTGTTTTGTTATTTTGGTTCAGGTTAACAACGTTTTGAAAACAAGTTGACAAACAGCCGAACGGCTAAACTTTTATTTTTGAAGGTATGCGCGGAAGTAGCGCTCTGCTCATCTTTATTCTACTGTCAGAATCTAGCAGTTATGCCAGTTGTAGTTGTGGAGTGAACGAGAGGGCGGTGGAGGAGGAAGGACCAAGATACCGGGCGTGCTTGACTTGGACTTCACCAAACTGTGGACTGGTTTGACTTGTCACGGGATCTATTTTTGGAGGAGCGATGTATTTCAGTTTATAAAAGTAGGTACTGCCTCGTTTAAAAAAAGGCAAAAAAGACGCGTCGTCTCCACACAAGTTGTTGTTTAGGATGGGGGAGCGCATGGACAATCACAGTGCGATTCAAACCACTGGTTCTCAGTGGCTGCTGCCTGTTAGTGAATATTGGGGATTTCCTCTTGCACTGGTAAGCACAAGACTACACTATTTTGCCCAGTCACATTCATATCTCATCACAATATGTATACTTAATTGTTTTGAAAGACGCTTCGTCGTGATTTATCAATGCCGACAACCACTAAACAAGAATGTAACAAAAAAAATAATAATACTGTCATGATAACGATGATGTTCTCTCACTTTATTCACAAATGACGTGCTTAAATCTGGACCTGTGAAGTTGAACACCGAGCTGATATACTGTACTCTCAGGAAGCCCTAGATTTTCTTCTGTATGAAATGGCAACAGGTGGATGAACTGGTTTATTGTGCCTTCTAAACGGCTAGAATTTGCACGAGGTGTGCCATTCTTTAAAGAAAACACGTAATCAGGCAAAACGCACTCAAACGTTCTCTTAAAACTTACCATTTAAAAAAAAATGTGTCACTCAGGTGAACTTTTTGGCGTGTCAGCTGTTTGCTCTGTCGTCTGCCTTCTGGTTTCGTCTCTACCTCAGTCGTCAACACAGCAGTCCCTTGGCGAGGCACGCGGTGGCCACTCTGCTGGGCGTCACATTAATCATTTTCTGCTTTGGATGGTACGGTATGAGGATCCTCCACACCACGCTCACCCACTTGAACTGTAAAGAAGTTCAAATGCCCGACTATCTACAACAGTTCACTATTAAATACAGCACAGGTGTCCATGAATTTTAGCTCTTATTACAAACTCAATTACAATGAAGTTGGGACATTGTGTGAAACATAAATAAAAACAGAATATAAGGTTTTTGCAAATCATGATCAGCCTGTATTTAATTGAATCCACCACAAAGAAAATATTTCATGTTCAAATTGATCAACTTTATTGTTTTAACCAAATCATCATTAACTTAGTATTTTATGGCTGGAACAGGTTCCAAAAAAAGCTAGGACAAGTGGAAAAAACGACTGAGAAAGTTGAAGAATGCTGATCAAACGCCTCTTTGGAGCATCCCACAGGTGAACAGGCTAACTGGGAACAGGTGGGCGCCATGATTGGGTATAAAAGGAGCTTCCCTGAATTGCATTGAATTGTAATTCACAAGCAGAGATGGGGTGAGACCATTGGGTGATAAAATAGTGAAACAATTTAAGGACAATATTCCTCCATATACAATTACAAGGAATTTAGGGATTTCGTCATCTACGGTCCATAATACCAAAAGGTGCAGTGAATCTGGAGAAATCACTGCATGAAAGCGGCAAACCTCAAAAACCATCATTGAATACCCGTGACCTTTGATCCCTCATGCGTCACTGCATCACAAACCGACATCCCCATATGGGGTCAGGAACACTTAAGAATCAGAATCATCTTTATTGGCCAAGTATGTAGAACACACAAGGAATTTGTCTCCGGTAGTACACGCTGCACTAGTATTATAAACAAGGACATGATAAATAAGTATGGAAGGACATTCCATAATGTAAGTGTACCGTTGTGCGGTGGTACCACCCAATGACAACTGTGAGACAATGTGCAAAGTATCAAACAGAGCTTAAGTGTTCAGTGGTAGAATATAATACTATAACAGTTGTACAGTTGGTGCAGAAAATCATTGAAGCATTTTAAAGTGACCAGTAGCAGTATTTGTAGTACAACAAGTGTGCAATTATGCAGATGTCCTTGAGCGCTTTAAAGTGTCTGGTGCTGTGGAATATAGATCAGTGACAGTGGTTCAAGTGAGTATAGAGCTGGAGCTACAATGATAAAAACGGTGATGCTGTTCCACAGGGTTGTGCAAAATTGCAAAGAGCCACTATACAGGTAGATTTGGATTACTGTTTAGGGTGTTAATGGCTACAGGGAAGAAGCTGTTTTAAGTGTCTGCTGGATTTGGTGTGCATGGATCGGTAGCGCCTGCCTGAGGGGAGTAGCTGGAAAAGGTAGTGGGCAGGGTGCGGGGGGTCCAGTAGGATTTTCCGTGCCCTTGTCTTGGTTCTTGCGGTGTGTAAGTCCTCAAGAGTGGGTAGGGCGGTGCCAATGATTTTTTCCGCCGTCCTAACTGTCCGTTGCAGTCAGATTTTGTCCTTTTTTTGTGGCAGCCCCAAACCAAACCATGACGGAAGAACACAGGATTGATTCGATGACTGCCGATTCAGAAAACCGATGTCAGTAAATATAGTTTGACATTACATTAAGTGCAACTTAAAACTCTACTATGCAAAGCAAAAGCGATTTCTTAACAACATTCAGAAAAGTTGCCAGCCCGAGCTAGTCTAAGATCGACTGATACAAAGGGGATGTGTTGTGTGGTCTGACGAGGCGAATTTTGGGAGGAAATTGTGGACGTCTTGTCCTCTGCGCCACAGACGAAATGAAGCATCCGGACTGTTATGGATGCAAAGCTCAAAAGCCAGCATCTGTGATGGCATGGAGCTGTGTTCGTGCCAATGGCATGGGTACCTTACAGATCTGTGAAGGCACCATTCATTCTAAAAAGTACATACAGGTTTTGGAGAAACACATGCTGCCATCCAAGCAATGTCTTTTTCATAGACGCCCTTCCTTATTTCAGCAAGACAATGCCAAACCAGATTCTGTACGTGTTGCAACCGCTTGACGTTGTTGTAGAAGAGCATGGGTAGTAGAGTAGCTTGCCTGCAGTCCAGACCTGTCTCCCATTGAAAATGAAATGACGCATTACGAAGTGTAAAACATGAAAACGGAACCCCCGGATTGTTGAACAGCTAAAGCCCCCATCAAACAAGAATAGGAAATAATTCCACCTACAAACTTCAACAATTAGTGTCCTCAGTTACCAAACATGAATTGAATGGTGTTGATATAAAAGGTCACCTAACACAGTGGTAACATGACCCTGTCTCAGCTCTTTGGGGGAACGTGTTGGAGCCATAAAATTCTAAGTTAATAAAGTGTATCATTTTGACCATTAAATATATTTTCTTTGTATTATCCATCCATCCATCCATCCATTTTCTGATCCGCATATCCTCACAAGGGTCACGGGGTGTGCTGGAGCCTATCCCAGCTCTCTTCGGGCAGTAGGCGGCGGACACCCTGAACCGGTTGCCAGCCAATAGCAGGGCACACATAGACAAACAACTGCGCTGCCCTCTTTGTATTGTATTCAATTAAATTAAATGAACATGGTTTGCAGATCATTGTATTCTGTTTTTATTCATGTTTAACACAAGGTCCCAACTTCATTGGAATTGGATATGTGTCCTTGGCAGGTACTCCACTCACCTCCTGGCTGTGGTGCTTGCGAACTACCTTATACTCATCCAAACTGACATCAGCAATGTACACAGGTAAAGTACTGTATGTTATTTTTGTTTGTGAGCTCCATTCAATTCAAATACAAACATTGGTCATTTGGCTCATTTGATGCCTTTTACGAGTTTCGAGATTTTTGTCAGTGCAGTACAAAGTCAATATCAAAAATCTTATTTTGCTTATGTTTTGAAATTTAAATTAATAGAAACACCTCTCGGTGTCATGCAGATCAGTTAGACTAGTTCTGTACATCCAAAATATACTCGTGGATCCAAAATACCCTGAAAATTGAAAAATAAATTAAAGGGGAAGTCAAACCAAAAACAGGTTCTATGTAGCCTCACTCGTCTGAACGTGCTAATCTGATCAATATTTAGTTTGTGGAATATGAGGTGAGCGGTAAAATGTACCCGTTTTTTGTCCATCTGTGGGGGGGACAATTTTTGCAATTTGCTGTCGAATTAAAATGACATCACAATTGCTTGTGGCTTAGTTAACAACCAATCGGGGCTCAGCATCAGAAAACAGGTGAGCCGTGATTGGTCATTACTTGAGCCCCGAGCAACGTGACGTAGTTTTCAGTCAACAGCAAGTGGCAGAATGGCCACCCCCCGAGATGGCTGAAAACGGGTGGATTGGGCTGCTTAACTCATATTTTCACAAAGACTATATTAATCAGAATGCCGTGTTTGGACTCGTGAGGCTACATAGAACATATTCTCAAATATTTTTGATGGGTTGACTTCCCCTTTAAAAGATGAGATATTCTATCAGTGTATGTGTTTTTATAAACAAATATATCAATGTGAGTAGTTTGAATTCCTGCAGTCCTTCTTGGAAAACCTTAAAAAAAAAATTTGGATGTAAGAAATCTGAACTAGTATGAACAACAAAACAGCTTTAGGCACCCCTTTATTCTCTTAAAGCACTACATCATCTGTTTACCCTGAAATGTGTTTATTGGGTGAGAAGTGAGAAGAGACAATCTCTTCCACACCCCACTGCTGCACTTGCAAAGCTACTCGGAATAAATGACTGGATTGGCTGAGTCATGTCACGTGGGAGGAGTTGCATTTTGATGTGATTTGTTTGTGTGTTTCCTGTGTGCATACTGTACTTTATATACTGTGGTGACCAGAAAAGCTATGGTTATAGTAAGGCTTGTGTAAATCTAAATAACAAAATCTTGAGAAGATCCAAATCAGAGACCACCTGCTGAGTTACTCTACATTACGTGATATACATTCAATGTTTTGTTCTGTGATGGAGTCTGAATATGTAGGAGTATGTAAGTGGAGGTTCTGAAAGAATCACAGCTACGAAGGTTTGTACTTCTGACTTTTGTCGCCAACTAGGTAAAGCGGTCTTCCGACCAGATTGACCAGTCTGCCGGGCATACATACATACAAATGGGAGAGCAAAGATGCAACAGCAGATAATCAAGCTGTGATCGCAGCCAAGTGGTTCATTGACTCAAAGCACATTCCAATGTTCTGGATTGTTGCCTTGTTGAAATGCAGCCCGAGTGTAGAAACTGTCGATTGAAAGCATGCCGCCAATGTGAAACATGTCAGGTGAAAGTCAACCTAACAGACCAGTCTGTTGAATCCCAAAAGACGGGGGAACAATGTGCATGTGTGAGGTTATGTGTGTGCATCTGTTCAAAGGGCCTGTTTAAATCTTTGCAGCTCCTGCTACAATTTCCCACATTGGGCTTTTCACCCATATTCATATTTTAGGAATGAGACCAAACAAGCCAGGTCCAGTTTGTTATGACACTTTTGTGAATGGAGGAATACACACAGGAGCTGCAGGCTGAATTGGAAATTGGTCTGTATTGTTCACTTGGTGGGGAGCCTTGTAAACAGTGTCCCATCTTAAACATACCCAATTCTATATCTATATTTGCACAGGTCCAGTGCACACTGAGGATTCAAGATAAATTCAGTGCACACTTAACCAAAATGAGTTATTACATTTAGACACATGGCCAGTATTTGTTACAATTTAAATGACCTTGTAATGTTAGCTCCTACAAAGTACGCGTAGCAGCATTTGCTCATTTGAGCTTGAACCACATTCTGTGTGTGGAGCAGTACTATGTACCTTCGGAGGACAACAAATCTTTAGTTTGCAGTTAATTGGCCCGCGGAGGAGGTCAATTTCAGTTTTTTGAGCAGCATCTGCCATACAAGTTTCAAAAGAAGCTGACAGTGTGTGAGGAATGTGGCTGTG